AATAACGTTACTCCCTGATGACTGGATGTGTAAATAAGCAACAAGTTCACCATATCAAGAGAAACAGGACTTTTTTTCAATTGTGATCAGGGCGATGTAATTCTCTGTCACCAGCTTACATAATGAACAAAAATCCTCCAACTATGACTGAACCCTGAATCAACCATGTAGCAGCTCCTCTCTGCTGGGCCGACGCTGGCTGCACTGAAGGGCTGACTGCGCTGAAGGGCTGACTGCAGACAGACCTGCTCCACCAGACGACCATATGGCTGTTCCAACAAACCCCTGGGACACAGTGTTAGCTTTCATGATGACAACATGGGCAGCTATTCTTCCAGCCATCATCATTCTACAGGCAAGCAGCACACACAAAAACACTACTTTAAGCGAGCTTTTTAGCACTCAATAGTGCCCATTTCTGTAAATCAATGTAATCTCGGATCAGTATTTCTTTCACTGGTCTTCCTGAGAGGGTAAATGTGGAGTTTACTATCCTTTTTTAAAATAAATAATCATCTACTAGGAATCTGACCTGGTTTGTTACACAGAACCATCTGGGAAGCTGTTTGAAACTGTTTGAAGAAGGGCAGGCGCTTTTCAAAAAAATCTGATATTTCAGAGCTTCCCCTAAATTTCTCAAAGGTAGCTTCCTGGGTAGCTCATGTCTCTTTCAGAGGAGCCAAACTCCCTTTAGCTCCCCGTAGTCCGAGCCCTACAGGTAACAGTGCTTCAACTGGCCCACTCACTTTGCTGCCCATCGATGCTGGTGTTTTCTATTTTGATTTGGAGACACAATCTGCTGCCGCACCTGCCAGCCTCTACTATACAAAACAATCATACAATGCACATCAAGTTACTGCCTCCACCTGCCTTTATCCCATCAGGTAATATTTTTAATTGGGCTGTAGCTTAAAGTAGGAGAAATGAAGGGAATAAAAATGTGCCAGTACTGAAAAGTCGCAGCTTGCACAGCATGTATGTGCAGCTGTTATCTCATTTTTAGACACTTTGCATTTTGGTTTCTTGCCAAAGTGAGCCCCGGCAATTCTGTTCTGTTCACACAGTTAACCCTCCTTAAGCTAATTATATGGAAAAATAAAATACTAAAAGATTAAAGGTCAACTTCAAGGAAGGAAATCATAAGAGTTTAACATTTCAGCAGTGTCACTTCCTGTCTTGCTCTGCCTTAAAAATCTGTCATGTACTTGACTCTGTGTCACGTAACATAACATTTAGGATCCATTAACTGATTTATAACATATGTTTGAGAGGCGACAGGGTTTTATGCTGTGATGGTGAACTGGATCAAGGTCACAGCTGGCTTTTGTCTCCCTGCTGTCAGTTTGCAGTGCTGTAGTCAAGGTCACAGGTGTAAAAATCCAATCTGTAATCCACAATATGCCACATCAGATGCAATAAATAACTTAATAATAATAATGAAAAGATGAAGCTGTACATTTATATCACCAGACATGTACAGGTTTATTTATATTATGGTGTGTTCCCACCAAAGGTGAATAAAATTTGTGGCGTGAGTAGAGTAGAAAGTCAATGCAAAGATGCGAATAAAGGTAAATATGCGCAAATTTTCAATTCTGTGCGAGTTGAAAATATTAAACTTTGAGCGATGTGTTGTATAGGGAGGAGCACAGAGACAGAGCTGTTGCTGGCCGACAGACAGCTGATTGGGCCGGGAAGCCCTGCAGAAGTGAGCCAGGGGCGGACCGGAGTTTCTGGACAAATAGACACCTGTAGTCACACCTGATTCTGCTCTGATCTGGAAATGTTACTGGCAAGAGAAGAGCTCAGAGTTTATTTTTGGGATTATGAAGTGGTTTATTTTGGGCTCATACCACCATTGTGAACCAGCTAATATCTGCTTGCATTACTTGCTAGAGTAACTTGCAAACTACTGCTTATATGCCTGTTATACTGCAGGATAAGACAAACACAGTGGGGATGTTCAGATCATGCTTAGCAGGCAGAGAGGGAGCAGGAGAATATTGTCTCCCTTTTTCTCTTTGCCGTCATCCTGTTTGGCTTTTGTTGCCTAATGCCGAAATAGACCTTTTTCACAGCCTGAAATAGTCGGGTAAACACAGGTGTTTTCATCAATTTCAATTCTGGCCCATGAAATCAAATTCCCCCTCCACTCAAAAATATTTTTTTTTCTTCTTGTTCCTGCAGTTGAATGTTTGAGCTTGTGTAGAATGATGTGCAGAGTATGTATGTGCAGAGTCACCAGTACACATACACTGGGAACACCATCTGTCCAGCAGGAAAAGTTTAGAGATTAGCACAATTTGCAAATTCATAGATTATGATTTTAATGAGGCAAAAGAAGTAGAAGTCTTGGAGTATTGGATTATAATGTAGAAATTATACTTTACTTGTGGGGAAAAAAAACATACCAGACACACATTATTATTATCCACGTACTACTATTTCTATATATTTCTTAATATATGTCTGAAGTGGAGCTTTTTTGTTTTTTGTGTTTATTATTGTCAAACATATCGATAAAGTTAAGTACCTCAACAATGAGAAACCAACTTTCCTTCAAAATTGGTCATTGGAAACACAGCAGGCTACAGACATTTTCCCAAGCAATAGCTCGATTTTCATGGATTCAAATTACTGCTTGAGTACAAAAGATATATTTGATCTTCTCAATGCTGCAGTGCAGAAATTACAGTTAGTGGGTGGCAATGAAGACCTGCAGTTTACTTTAAATTTGCAGTCCTTTTAATGACATGTTGGAAACATGTCAATGAGACCTACTGTGGTGTGTGATTGGATGCACTCAAACACAAAACAATTCATGACAGGGCAGTTGAAAGTGACAGCAGAGGGGATCTTTACCATGACAACCAAGTAGAATAAATAAGGCGATGAAGGTAGATTCCCTTACTGATTATCAGTTTATGTAAAGTCATTGCTACATAATAATACAATTTACAGGTACGTTTTCTAAGATCTGTTGGTTAGTGAGATCCTGAGCTGTCACTTCGGTAGCTGTGGTGTTGGTTTGTTGCCGTACATGTGCAGTATTGATCCATCCAGTAAAGAAAGAATGGATCAATACCAGTAAATACCAGTAACACACTATAACACAACACTATTAAATCACACTCTGTGGCTGCATCTGTGTTTGTGTTTTAGCAGTTTACTTCCCAACATAAAATTTGATTATTGAATATTGAATAACTGGATATTTAATAATTGTGCTGTAGATGATACAAGCCGTGTGTTTGCTGTTTGTTCAGCAAATACCCTGAAGTAGGCAAATGAGGAAATGAGAGAGTGTCTCTCCTTTCGGAGTACTGACACTCATTTCAGTGGATAGTTAGCACAAGGAAATGCCATTGGGTCCTTAGGCTCATTTTGACTCTCGCTATCTCTTCCACTAAAGGTTCTTGTTTGCTTGGGGGTGGTGAGTAACTGCTCTGCACTAGCTTGTTATAAGAAACATACCATCTGCACTCTGCACCCTCTCTAAGAGAAATATCGAACACGCTTTTATCAGCTTTGACATAAGGAATAAATCTCGACTCTAAAGTAAAAAAGGAAAATGGTCATTACTGGTCCTCGTCTTTTGGTCAATAATGAATCCCGGAAATCAGGCGTGCATTTACCAGCTCATTTATATGGAAATGAACGGTCCCTGAAGGATGGACCCCGCCTCTCATGCCCTCACTTCCTCCACCTTGACTCAATTACCAGTGGCCCTACAGACAGCAATGAATTCTTAATTGGAAATTGATTAAAAAACAACTTTTTGTGGCTTCACTTTGCTTCTGAATTTTGCTCCTGTGCACTTTTATCAAATCACCCTGCAGGTATTAATTGGGCCAAAGATTGGTGGGTGGTCTGAGTCAGTATTAATCAGCTTGGGGGGGGGTATGTGATGGGGTGGGGGTGGGTGTCCATGGGGTACATGGAAGTAATTCTAAAAAAAAGTTAAGCTGGAATGTATCTGAATGAGAGAGAGAGAGAGAGAGAGTGTTGCTTGCTTCCAACTGGTCAAACTGTTTCCTTTTAACCCCCTATTTCATTTACAACGTACACAGTACAAATGACAAGCTGGATATTATTAATTTCCTAAGCAGAGCCACTGTATCACACAAGCATCCACATGTAATTCTGTAGACTAAAACTGTGTACATTGTCAATGCGATGCAACAGAAACCTCTGACTGACACCTTCTCCAATCATTAAATTTGAAAGTGTTTTACTCATTTGTTTAATGCTTACCGTGGGTGGAACAAAATTCCGATAAAATTACTCAAACCAATATGTAATACGATGAAGACTGCCCTCTGATCAATTTCAGACTCTCTTCTTTTCTCTTTTTCCTCTTTTTTTTGCTAGTGTCTCTTGTTTGATATCTCTTTAATTAAGTGAGAATCCATAGAAACCTTCTCTCATGATTTCTTTGTCTTCTTTTTCTTGAAATTGCATTTCAATTGTGAAACTTCCAATTCCATTAACCTCATTTACTGCAGCTCTCTTGTGGGCTGTTCCCGGTCTGCAGTGATCAGTACTTATCAAAAGTGGTCCATGGAAAAGCAGTGAACCGGAGACAGGGTGATGGGCAACAAGGCTAACTGATGTAGCCTGGCCTGTGTGGTCTGATCCAACACACGAGCTACTGTAGAGGAAATTGAAAAAGTTAATGCTGGTTCTGATGTGTGTCAGGACACACAGTGCATCAGTTTGTTATATATGGGGCTGCATAACATTATGACCACCAGGGTGCCCAGGTGACCCATAAGTCCTTGATGGTGACTACAGACCTGTTCTTTAACAGAGTATAATTCAATTTTTTAAGTTCTGAAGGTAGAAAATTCCCTCAGGTGTATCATGTACCCTCTATCTTTTTCACTCTGTGCATCTGTGATTTTGTTTTTTATGAGATCAGACACAGTAAAAATGCTCTGCACCTTGCTGGTTAAACAACTCCAAGAGGTGAGTCAAGACCAAATATCTTCACATCAAAGATGACAGGAGGAGAAGCAGTCATGGCTTCCTACAACAAGCATGTGTACATGTACAGCATGTGGGAGGTTCAGTCAGTAAGGAGACTATCTCCAAATATCACACCAGAAGTGGATGAGGATGTGTTTGGGGAGTCGTCCCATTGGGTGTGATGTGTTTGGATATGATGATGGATATTTGATGTACTTATATATATGTAATTTTGAGGTACTGTTACCTTACCATAATTATTTTACATCTTATGCTACACTATTCTTCCACTCAAGTGGGTGTCAGAGAGAAATATTGCACTTCTTCATCAAAGTTAGCCGAAGCTTAAACATAACTACATATGTACTTTAGTAGTTTGCACACAAAACATATTTTGAGCTTATAGATAAATACTACCCAACACTATGGAAGATAGTTGACCTTAGCCCCATCCAGACAACATTAAAATGCTGCATACAGGTTAAGACATCAATAATTTAAAGCCCCAATCTTTGATCCCAATGTAAACCAAAGGTCAGCCCTTCCCACCATAAAAAATTTAAAACTCAGGACTGGAACCTGCTAACACTCCCAAAATGATTGGCATGTCTTTTAGGACAGAAATGGACACTCAATAACAGCTAAATCTAAGTTACTCATTGTTTTATGATGCTGCTGCGTTTACAAGCACACAATTTCTGCATGTCACCCGAATTAGTTCTGCAATGCCTGCAGTCCTCGGTCTCTCTTGAGCGAAGGGTCATGTGATTTAAGGAATTTTTGGTCTGAGGACCATGAATATCTTTACAGTCTTTACAACATCTAATAGCTGTTAAAATATTTCAGTTTGAACCAAACTGAACGGTCTGACAGATAAACATTGCCATCAGATTGAAAAGATTATAAATACTTATTAGTTATTCCTATCACATACACTGTCAGATGTAGTTTTTGCGATATGTTCAAGTACAGCTTCAGACAGAACATGTGATTGCCTTACATGTTCTGTGCAAAGTAATCATACACTCAACAAGGGTTCTAAGTAGCCCTGGCTGTCTGTCAGTTACAATTACCCAGCAACTTGACCTTAATCAATATTCATTTTATGACAGTACTTAGCCTTGGTGTGTATGTCTGTGTGTGTGTGTGTGTGTTTGCTCAAATTCCTTTTGTGCTAAAGTCGTTTGCAAGGACTTTTAATTACATCTGTTCTTAAAAATTAATCCACCCCTGCAAATCATCTCTGAGATGAAGCTGACTGAACACATTCCCATGATACAGAGGTCAAATGTGGAACTATTGTTCAAACTTGCCCTTCTTCCTCACTCAGTAGTGAGTTATAATTATCATAATGGCCTTTAAAATATCCTTAAATTGTTCTTGATTGCAGGCACACATCTCATTGCAAAGGGAGGAAGGAAGAGGGAACAGTATAGTCGACATTTCATTGCTAAAAAACTGACAGCTGAAGTAATTGCACAGCTGCCAGTGACCTTGAGTAATACCCACCCTCTCCCTTAAGAAACACAATTTTTTTAGTTTTCTTCAATGAAAGTCACAAATTATCTCTGGCCATAAGTTAGCTAGTAGCCTAAATACCATGTACCATCCAAAACAAAGCTCTTTGTGGGTGCATGCCCGTGCTGAACACTATTGTCTTTGAAACAAACACAATATCTAGCTCACTTTCTGCATTTGTGTTTATTCCCCATTGCCTGAGGTTTAAACAGTGCACACCCACACACACCTACACACACACACACACACACACACACACTTTGTATCTCTTCAAAACAAAACATTAAACAGTAATGATAGAAGTGCTGTTGAGGGCAGCTTTGCCTAGCATTGAGTGGACAGCTCTGAACATCATATGTGAAAAGCCCCCTGAGGTAGAGCCCTTGTATATCGAGGAACAAGCAAGTAACATATCTAATGGGGTGGGGTGTTTGTGCAGACATTTAAAGCCCTTTAGAGACACTTCCTTGGCCATTACAGCCTTTCCCCGCCTTGACAACTGCAAAGAAATGTGTACCATATATCCAGACAGACACCAAATGGACAGTAAATTTTGATGTCTGCACATGTCTGATGTTTAGCAGATATAATGTTTTGCAGGTTTACCATCTTACTTTAACCTGTTGGCATGGATTTAAAGTTCAGAGGATAAGACTGATCATTTTCCATTAATATGACGTAACAGCACTCGGTTGTATGGAAGGACCACAAGAATGAGTTTCTATTTCAGTTTAGCCTATTTTTACTAGTACTTGACACTACCTCTTCACAACTAGAGCCGATTTGGTTCTTTTTTCATATGCACTATAATTACCACATTTTTAAAAACCCATATTCACACCGTTCATTTGGTTTGTTTTCATGTATTCTTTGCTTCTATTTGCCCGGCCAGGATCAATTCATCAGCACACTGAAATCACCACAGTTTAGAGCTGAGCAAAGAAAGTCTAGAGCTTGATAATTGTGGTTGAAAGTTGCATGATTTAGTCTCAATGGAGCCCTGCTGTGTTTCAAATGTGAAAGCAAACCAATTTGCCATGAAAGACCGAAGTCACTACACACCATGCCTTGCAGTTGTAGTCCCTTTCCAGGTTGAAAAAAAGGGAAGACCCAAATGCAGAGACTTAATTCTCAAAAGGATTGTAAAGCCAGCCGACTTTTTGGCTTGTAGTCTTGACAGCACTCTGGACACCATTAATGACACAGAACCGAACAACACAAAGTGTAGTATTTTTATCTTCTTATCTTAGATTGGAGAATAGGACAGACCGACCATGTGTGCTGTGCTCTGACTCCATAACATCAAGTATCGCTGGGGGGCAGAGGCTGGTGATGTAAGTACTTATGCAATATCCCTGGTCCTGAACATTCAAATGAGGTAATTATGTTTTATGATTCATATTTCTTATAAATACTTAGAATACTTGGTTTTTTCATTTATTTTTAATTGTGACATGTTGGATTCTTTATATATTTGTAGGTATTTTTCGACCATCAACTGTGGGCTCATTAACGGTCTTATTTATGTATTAATTTATTTGAAAATTGATATCTCTATTGCAGTTGTCTGTAGGCACTGCTCTGGTAAGTCTGGGGTTGGTACATTTATTTAATTGGCCAAATTCACATTATACCTTTTACAACATCCGTGTTTGTTTAGATTTCATAGGGCATTAATGCTTTTTGGTTGCTGACTATTTCAGCTGCCAAAAACTGCCAAATTAAACTTAATAATCAGAGTAATAAATTGGCAGTAAAAAAAAAAACCTTCATTCTAATGGAAGCTACTTGTAAGTCTCATCTAGTTGATTTTCATAATGTTCTGAAATTAATAGAAATCAGTTTGTGCCTGGAAGGTAGGAAAGCAATCTAAACTCTTAGGTTTTGGAAAATTGTTTGTGCTAATGTAAAGTATGTTTTCTTGCTGGTTAATGGAGTAAAACATGGTTTTGTATGTTTTAGTCCATTAAAACATTGTGAAAAACGACTCAAAATGTGGGCGCCCTGGTTGATTAATGTTGTACCATGGCTAAGTCCTTGCTGCAGTGGCCATGGGTTCGAATCTGACCTGTGGCCCCTTTGCTGTGTGTCATCCCCTCTCTCTCCCCCTTTCCTATCTGTCTCAAGCTTTCCTGTCAAATAAAGGCAAAAAAGCCCCAAAAACATATTTTTAAAAGATTTATGTCTCTTTATTGTTGATCAGGATAATCTTTGTCATTGAAAATATACAGAACCCTAAGAATATTTTTACCCCAAATTAAAATTCTGTCAATATTTTCTTACACTGGTCGGTCAGTACTTGCAGTTAAAACTGTCAACTGTTTTTTCAGTATTTTCTTACAGTACATCTTTTTTATTTATTATTGATTATTGCTGTTATTAGTGGTGGTGATGGAGATGGTAGTAGTAATAACAGCAGTAGTATTAACTTGTCAGTCAAAGGTCTGTCTGTCAAAGGTAGTGTTTTTCTTACCCTCCCAATGGCGCCCCTTAGCTCGCCACCATCCTCTCTCCTTTCCCCATTTCTCATCCACCTTACATACACGCGCACACACACAGACACACACACACACACACACAAAGGGAACCAGTGGCTCAGGAGGTAGAGTGGGTCATCCACTAATCCAAAATTGTTGGGGGTTCCCCTGAAAGTTGAAGTGTCCTTGGCCAAGATACTGAATCCCAAATTGCTCCCGATGCTATGCCGTCAGTGTATGAATGTGTGTGAATGGCTGAATGTGACGTGTAGTGTGAAGCGCTTTGAGTGGTCAGAAGACTAGAAAGGTACTAAATAAGTGCAGTCAATTACACATACACACACCAGATCACCACAATGCCTGACAACTACGTGTCACGTTGTGCTCTGGTTTTTTTGGAAAGACCTTTTTGAATTGTCCTGTACAGTATCTATTGTTTATTGAACAAATATTTCCTTTGACCTAAACAGCCCACATATCTCAGTGGAGTTCTAACTAACATTGAGGCAAGTATAAAGGGCAGTGCATTCTAGCGCTATAAGAAATAAGAAAAAATAAGAACATAGGAGAAGACCAAAACCATGTAGAATAACAAGAAAGTATGGCATTCGTATTGTAGAAAAATACTAAAAAAAAACAAATAAACAAATGTGTTTTACGTTAAAAGTTGTGTTAAATTCAGAGGGCCTAAGTTGCAAAGACTTGTAAGTTTAAAATAATACATCAAAATCCAGTGAAGAGAGGCTACAGAGGGATGATGTGGAGCATCTACAGCTTGTTTTTTTCTTTAAAGGAATAGTTTAAAGTTTTTGCCAGTACTGATATCAGTGCATGAACATTATCTCACTCTACAGATCCTGTTGATGGAGACGCTTGAGCGAACAGGCACAACACAGCAGTCATTAGAGCTTTAACAGTCCCCCACAACAGGATGCAACAACTCTGATATATTCTCCTCTTAGAACTCTTTACCATGTTACGTTTGATACATTACTCCATGAAGGCACGGGGGTTAACTGCCACTTCCCGGGTGCTTTTTCTTCATCATTCAGTATCTTTGATTTAGAGCTTTCACCCAATCGCTGGTGAGTAGAGGGGAGAGAGAGAGAGAGAG